TATGTGGATGTATGAATGTATGTGTGCAAATGTGTGTTAGTTTATGAGTGTGCTTGTGTGTGCATAAGTGTTGTGAGATCATAAGTGCATGAGTGTGTGTGTATATTTATACATGTACACGTAAATGTGTACAAGTGTGAAAATGAGTGTAAATGCACACAGGTGCTTGTGTGGGTATGTGCATCAAGTGTTATGAGTGTAAGTGTAAGAATGACTGACTTGTGTGTGTGTGTGTGTGTGTATATATATATATATATATATATATATATATATATAAGTGTTTGTGTGGGAATGGGTGTGGTAGGGTGGATGGGTAGACATGTGTGCATGTGTGTGAGAGCATGAAGGAGTGGAACAGACATGATTCACATCCTCAGCCAGCGTAAAGCAGCATCCTGCAGAGCAGAATACTCTGCCCCTTACCTCATTCAGACCCTAAGATAAACAGAAGCCTGTGGCTGTGAGAACAGGTTCTCCCCTAAGAAAAGCTACACTGCTCTTCCTGTCCACACTGGGGCCCTGCCACTGCAGCCTCCCATGCTACCTGGCTGGCTGGAAAAGGGCCAGCCTGACAGGATGGACACACACAGGCTCTCTCCATGGGGACACCACCTCCATTAGAGCCATATGGCCCACTCTAACTGTGCTGTCCTACTCCTGCCGTTACAGTTGATAAAGAACAGACAGAGGACTGCTATCTGCATCATGGGGTCTCTCCTAGCATGTGATCTAGACCAGCTTCATTCTGACGCTTGACAGTTCAGGTTCACTAAATCAAACTAGCAGGTCACCAGCTAGGAACAGCTGCTGAGAGTAAGTGGCATGGCTGCTCCCCTGCCACTGAGCCCCGATGGCGCAGGCAAGAGGAAGAATGCCCGCCACACAATCCACATACAGTATCTGGAAGATGCATCTGTCCTACAAACCTGCAGAATGAACAACTGTTCCCACTGACAGTGGAGGAAACTGAAGCAGGGGGATCATCCTGTGCCCCAGGTCACACTGCTACACCAACACCCCTGAAGTGCAGGGGTGTTGCACAAGCCCACCTGTCTATCAACATCTGAGCCACCCGGCTCCACCCCTGCAGGAACCTATCAAGCCAGGGAGCTCAGCCCTGGCCCTCTATCCCTCAGAGACAGGAAAGGGACAGCATCCAAAACCATGGTAAGCCCCAAAAAGGGAATGCTGATAGCTCTGATGGCAGGCAGGGATGGGGTCATGCAGACATCTGTGATAATGTGGTTTCTTTTATTCTGCCTGTGGTTAGGAACTCAGCAGAAACCAAAATATATTCCCTTTGTAATGAAAGGTAACCATATTGACACATATTGTGTACAAGGCAATAGACCTCTGCCACTTCAAAAATAAAAAAATAATAGCAGTAATCCTGACTCACAGCAGACAAAAAGCAAGCATTTGGGGGAGGTGCAGAGCAAGGTAGCACAGGGAGGAAGCTCAGAGCTGGGAGAGGCGGGGTCTGCCTTCTTTGCTCTACACACAGGAGTGGGCAGGGCAGGAGAAGGACCACTGAGGGAAGGGACCTTGAGCCAGTGAGCCCAGTACAGGGCACCATTCTCCCAAGGTTCCCTTTGCCCTTCACTAGTATTCCAGGGCAAGGACCTTTTCCAACACACTCCTGCTTTTTTTTCCCAACTCCCACCACTCCCTTGGTAACCCTGAAATGTCCACATCAAAGAGTCTGTCACCTCCTCCCTCAGAGACTTTATTAGTACCTAGAGTGAGGGGCATCATCAGAGGGCCCATCCCATTCCCACTTCTTGCCCACCCACAATGTCCCACAGCTCACAGGGTGCTTCATTCATCTCCAGCCAACTCCAACACTCTCCAGTCCACCTGGCCAGCCTTTTCCCATAAATGCTTTTAAACAGGATGCTATCAATTCCAACAGTAGCCCAATTAAACAAAACAAAAATGTATTTTGTTTAGGTACATGAATGACCTGAGAGCAAGGGACTGAAAGAGGGAAGAACTCAGGGCACAGTTAAGGGCACTTCCTCTCTGCTGGGTCTCAGGGGGAATAAGGCCATTTCCCTAAAGACCTCTGTGCTCTCCAGGGCATCAGTATCAAGCACACCCTTTGGGGGAGGGGCTAGTACTAGCTACATGTGAATAGCCATGTACCTGGCTTCCACTTCTCTCCACCTCCCAGTGTCCTAGGGCTGGCCTGGGTTCTGTGTAAGAGGAACTAGATGCCCTAGAGCATAGGGGCCACATACTCAGAGCCTAGTCCACCAGAAGTGGCACAGGAATGCTGTAGGAGCTCCAGGAGCCTCCTTGCAGACAGGCAGTGACTGAAAAGAGACATGTTCCATTGCACAGAGCAGGGACTTGAATGAACCCAGGCCCTTGTGTAAAGTGCAGACTTTCTCCAGGCTTCTTCAGGGCTATCCTTGACAAGAAAGCACTTGGGTCTGAGATCCGGGGAAAGCACCACTCTGCTAAGAACATTGACCTGACTCTGGAGACAGCTAGTGCTTTCCTGGTGCTTTCATGGGGCTCAGCACTAGCAACACCCTGCTACATATGCAGCAGGGACAACACCCCTCATTCTGTCCACCTTTCAGTCTCTTTGGGGGATCCACCCCTTGCCTGCATGGTTACTGCCTCCCTAGAGTTCACAGCTGAGAAGGAAGCACTGTCAGCAGGTGAGTGCACTGCAGGGTGACAGGCCCAATGGGAGGCAGCAGAAAAGCAGAGAGGAGGAGCAGAAATGCCATTGCTCCCTAATGCAAGTGCCACCTTTCTCCCTCATCTCAAGCACAAAGTTGCAGAGCTCATTAAGGACAGGCTTTACAGAAGAACTTTGAAGAAGACAAAAATCCCTGAGGGATCACCTAGCCCCTCCTCACTATAGGTTTCTCTGCATTGATCTCCACCTATTTGTCAATATCCTACCAACCTGTAGTGTGGTATACGAACATTCTTGAGGCCAAAATGATTAGAAGTGGCAGAAGATTTCCAATATGTGCTTTTCCACTATGGATTTTTCTCCTTGGCTACACTGCACTGCAGAGGGACTGCTATCCCTTTATATAGGTGGGGAAACCAAGACTTGGTGAGGGAGGGGTTTACATTGCCAGGGGAGCTAGTAGCCTGTATCTGCTAAGAATCCTTGCCCCCAGGATAGGCTTTCTCTTGCCCTCCCCCCAGAGTAACAGGGGCTCCTCTTACACCATGGGGAGGGGCAAAGACACTACTATAGTCTCCCCTTCTCTTTTATAACCTTTTCTCTGAAAGGAATGCCTAGAGGCTACAAGGGAAAATTCTTTTAAAAGAAAACAATTACACAGCCTTTTATGGCACCTGTTGACTCCCAGATGTGCACAAGGGAAGCATAGCCTGATGGGATCCCTGGTCCCCTTCCCACCTCCTAGCTTTCCTGGCATCTGTCCTTCCTCCCCCTCAGAATGGGGAGGTTATCTTGTGGATACAGTCTGGCTGTGAGGACCAGCATGAGGCTAAATAGAGGTAGAAGAGGGGCCAGGGAGTCATGGGAGGATCCTTCTGAGAATGGTCATAGAAAGCTCAGGCGCTGCCCAGAGGAGGCAGTAGAGGGGCATGCTGGAGAACACTACCCCCACACACAACCCTATGGTTTTGTTCCTCTCTTTTCTGCCTTTCTCCTCCCCTATTCTCTAACTCTGGTCCTCACCCCTACTTCTCCTTCTCCCACTCCCAACCCCCTCCTTGCCAGTTCTGCTCTACACATTCTCCCTTTTTCCTCCTGTGCTCTTTGCCATGGGTCTGAGCACATTCCAGTCTCTCTCTGACCTTAAATTGCAAGCCAGATGTGCCTGCCCTGTGCCTAGTTGTGCATCCCATGGCCCCTCTGCCCAAGTGTTGGCCCTCCTATCAGTGTCTTGGGTGTTGGTCTTCAGATCCTCTGGGTCTTTGGGGGATGATCCTGTTGGTCCCCCAGGCAATACTGTCTAACACACTATCTCACACACCTCCCCCACCACGTTATTCTTGCCCAATTTGGAATTTCCCTCTGTCAAGCTTCCCCTTTGCCCCCCCCTTCTCTCCCCATCTGCCCCCCCCCAACACACAGCCACGTTCTTTCCTTAGAGGGGATCCCCAACCCATCTGGTTCACACCACCCTCCTGCTAAACTGCAGTCAGAGACAAAAACAAAACCATCCCTCTGCACCAAGTGGTGTGGGCACCAGGGAAAGCTCCCCATATCCCTGGGAGCAAAGTCGCTTGGTCCATCTCCCATCAGGGTGGGGTGGCCTGATAGAAACAGACGCTTTCAGAGTCCAGAGGAGCCCGCAGGAGTCAGACGTCCTGCGTCCTTGTCCTTGCAACCACCACTCCCGCCAAGCTGGGAAGACAGTGACAAAGTTCCAGCGTTGCGGAGCCAGGGTCAGGGCGATCGTGGAGTGGGGCGGGAGGAACTGGAGGTGTGTGACCTTGGCAAAACCCTGCTCCTTTTGGACCATGGCGGGTCCACACGGGACGACAAAGCCCCCCCCCCCCCCCCCTTCTACCCCGGGTCCTCAGGGATGAGAGGTGAGCCCCAAACGCGCTCCAGGCAAGCGAGGGAGGAGCCTCGGGCTGCACTCCAAAGGAGGAGCCCGGCCTGGAGCCCGCGCCCCTTCCCACTTTCACCCTCTGTAAGGATGGGTTTAGTGAAACAGTAGTGAATCCTACTCTTGCCCCTCCTGAACGCTCACCATCCGCCCGACCTTGGCCAATCCTCCCCTTCTCCACACCTGTCTCGCGTCTCCACATCGCACGCCCAGATCCGCTTTGTGGACGCTATCTCGGGAAAAAGCCCGGGCTAAGTGCTAGTCCCTACTGCGTCCCCAGCTTGTTGAGTGACCTTGAACAACCACCCCCCATTTAGCACCTCAGTTTCCCCACCCGCCGGGTAGGAAAAAGCGCGCCCAACTCTGGGCACTCCCAGTCCCGCTAGGCAGGTGTGTCTCAGACCAAAAGGAAAACGAGGGAGGGGGGCGCGTGGCAGCACTTACCGTCCTCCAGAGACGCGGGCGCTTGGCGGGGACCAAGGTGGCTGTGACCAGTAAGTGCGAGGCAGCCACCACGAGCCCAAAGCCGATGGCCAGCAGGCTGCGCACGGGCAGCAAGGCATAGGAAACGAAGGTGACCAAAAGGAGCTGCCAAACCCCCTGTTCCGCGGCGGCTGACCCCGCAGCCGCCCCGGCAGAGCCCCTGGCGGGGCCACCCAGCGCGAAGGGGCAGCACAGCAGCGCGAAGGTGAGACTGAAGAGCAGCGCCAGCTGACCGACCTGCTGTAGCTGGGGCACCTGCAGGGACCGGACATTGGTGACCACGAGCAGCGCCAGGAAGAGGACGCAGTGCACCGGGTGCGACCCCTTGGTCAGGCCGGGCGCGGGCCCCGGCGCACCTAGCAGCTCGACCAGTGCCAGCGCGCCCGCCAGCAGGCTAAGCACAGCCAGCGCCTTCAGCGTGGCTGCCTGCTCCAGCCGCAGAGTGTAGCCGCGGAACAGCGCCTCCAGCTCGGGGCACGCGAACTCCTCGCCGCACGCCCGG